ATATCTCTCTCTCTTTACTATCCAACCACTTCGCTATCTCTCTCTCTCCCTCCCATCACATCTCTCTCTCTCTTATATTTCAGTATCTGCTCCGCACTACTCTCTCTTCTCTTTCTAACTCTCGCCACTCTCTCTCTCTCTCCTCCGTTCCCGCCACTTCTCTCGTCTCTCCCTCCCCCACTCTCTCTCTCTCTCTCCTCCCTCTCACTCTCTCGTCCTCCCCCATCTTCTCTCTTCCCTCCCCTACTCTCTCTCTCTCCTCTCCCCCACTCTCTCTCTTCCTCCCCTCACTCTCTCTCTCTCTCCTCCCCACTCTTCTCTCTCTCCTCCCACTCTCTCTCTCTCTCCTCCCCACCTTCTCTCTCTCCTCCTCCTCCTCTCTCTCTCTCCTCCCTCACTCTCGTCTCTCTCTCCTCCCCACTCTCTCTCTCTCTCCTCCCCACTCTCTCTCTCTCTCCTCCCCCACTCTCTCTCTCTCTCTCCCCACTCTCTCTCTCTCCTCCCCACTCTCTCTCTCTTCCTCCCCACTCTCTCTCTCTCCTCCTCCCCCTCTCTCTCTGCTCCTCCCCACTCTCTCTCTCCTCCCACCTCTCTCTCTCTCTCCTCCTCCTCTCTCTCTCCCACTCTTCTCTCTCCACTTCTCTCCTCGTCTCTCCCCCTCTCTCATCTCGTCTCCTCCCGCCACTCTTTTCTTTCTCTTCCCCTTCTCTCTCTATCTCTTCCCAACCATTCTCTCTCTCGTTCTCTCCACTCTCTCTCTCTCCCCTTTCTTTCTTCCCCCCTCTCTCTCTCTCTTCTCCCCCCACTCTCCTCCCTCTACTATCTCTCGCTCCCCTCCCCTCCCCACTCCCCCTTTCTATTTTCTTCTTCACTATCTCTTTCTCCTTCATCTTCTCATTCCCCTCCTTCCCATGCTCACAGAGTCCCCCCCCACTCTCCCTCCCTTTCCGTTTCCCTTTCCACTCACCAACTCCTCCTTCACCACCACCTCTGCCTCGTCCTTCGCGCTCCGCCTGTGTCTCTTACCTGTGGGAGAAAGAAAGCGCCGTGAGTAAGAATAACAACGCCGGCATTTTGACCTTTAACGGCATTTTTGCAATCGTCGAAAAGGTCAAGAGAGGAAAAATGTGCATGTCTTATGAGCGTTTCCGGGTGTATGGTGGTAATGCGTCCTACTCATTCGTGGCAATAAGAGGTAAAAGATTTATTTGTTGAAGTAATAATGAAATGGTTTTTTTAGTTAAAGTCTTGCGTCCTACTCATTCGTGGCAATAAGAGGTAAAAGATTTATTTGTTGAAGTAATAATGAAATTGTTTTTTTCTTATTAAAGTCTAGACGTCTAATTTCTTTTCCTTGGTAAAGCTCTTGGTTCGCCTTAGGCCTCTTTTTTATACTCGGTCTTAGGCCTAACACTTTCATCGCAGAAAGGCCCGGCGAACCACACAGGCACGCAAGGAAGATGGAACACCAACTTGACGCTCATCTCTCTCTTTCTCTTTCTCTCTCTTTCTCTTTCTCTAATTCTCTTATTCTCTCTCTCTCTCTCTTCTCTCTCTCTCTCTCTCTCTCTCTCTTCTCTCTCTTCTCTCTCTCTCTCGTCTCTCTCTCTCTCTCTCTCTCAATCTCTGTCCTCTTTTCTTCGTCTCTACGTAACCCATTCTTTTTCTCACTTCCCTCTCCCTGTCTGTGTGTCTGTCCGTCTTTTCTGTCTGCCTGTCTGCCTGTGTCTGTCTCTTTCTCAGTTTAGTCTCTGCTTTGTCTCTCTCTCTCTCTCTCTCATCCACTGTCTCCCCCTCCTCCCCCCTCTCCCTTTCCCTTTCCCTTTCGAATCGTCACCGGAACGCATCGAAAAAGAAAAAAGAAGAAACAAAACCCGCATCGTCTTGAAAGTGAAATGGCAGAACCCGCCCACAAAAAAAAAAAAAAAAAAAAAACAAGGAGGGCGTGTCTTCCTTCTTACGCCCGCGTGTTTTGTGCGCGTCCTGGGAACCAAAAATAAAGATGGGCGTCGGGATTTTAACAAGTGACATGGCGAAATGGGGAGCAAAGACGCCCACTAAAACAGTCTAATTATGACGCAAGGGGGGGGGTATTTACATACTGGGGGGTGGGGGGGGGAGGGAGAGTGGAAGAAGGGGGGTGGGGTGGGAAAGGAGATGGAGGGAGGGGGACGAATGAGGCATGAAAGTAGGGGATTGAATGAGAGAGAGTAGCGGTGCAGAAAAGCGGGAAGAAAGGGAAGGAAAAGGGAGAGATGAAGGAAGGAATGTGATTGAGAGAGGGAGGAAGGGGGGGAGGGTAGTAGGGAAGGAAGGAATTAAGAAAGGAAGGGAAGGAGGGAGGAGAGAGTAGGAAGGAAGGAAAGGAAGAGAGAGAGTGAGTGAGAGAGTGAGAGAGAAGAGAGTGAGAGAGTGAGAGAGTGAGAGAGGTGAGAGAGAGAGAGAAGAGAGAGAGAGAGAGGAGAGAGAGAGAGAGAGAGAGAGAGAGAGAGAGGAGAGAGAGAGAGATAAAGAGAGACAGTGAGAGAGAGATAGATAGACAGATAGACAGGAAGAGAGAGAGAGAGAGAGAGAGAGAGAGAGAGAGAGAGAGAGAGAGAGAGAGAGAGAGAGAGAGAGAGAGAGAGAGAGAGAGAGAGAGAGAGAGAAAGAGCAGGAGAGAGAAAGAGACACAGAGAAAAGAGACACAAGAGAGACGACTGAGAGAGAGACAAAGACAAAGAAAGAGAAAGAGATACACAGAGAGAAGACAGAGATCGACAGAGAGAAACACACGAACAGAAAGAGATGTAAATCCACACCGAGAGAAACGTGTAGAAAAAAATAATAATTAACAGGTAAGACGGAAGCGATGCCAAGGAAAAGAAGAGGGAGTGCGCCCTAACCTTCACCGACAACAAAATCACAAGGTTTTACGCTTGACTATGGTATTACTCGTATAAGAAAACGTACGTGAGAAGAGCATTAAAAAACAAATACGGATGGTAAATATAAACAGAAAACTATTTTTATCGATGCAAATCGGAAAAAAACATGATAAAACTAGGATTTTATCGTCTCATGACAGGTAAAAGATAGGACAAGGTCAATATCAACAGGAATCCACAAGCTATATACATAATTCATAGAAAAAAATACTTTTATTCACATCTGTCAACTTTTATTACGCATATCACTTCGAATTAAAGCGCCGAAGAAAAAAACATGGATTTTACTTTGTAGACTATCCCGATAAATCCAATTCATGCAAATAAACAAAAACATATTCATCCGAGCGTGTCTCAAGCATGCAAGCAAAGAACCCACGCGCTGGCTCACTCTAACCTTGGCACACAAGATAAACAATTACACAGAATTGCCGATATTACGAACGGTGAAAGGCACGATATCCCAATCTTATTAGGAGGGCGTAGCGCCGATACAGACCTAATTCAGTCTAATTAAATCTCAGCCCCTGTTAATGAAAGGAGTTGCGCGACGTCTTAAAAGTCACCAAGGACGACCACAAACAAGCATGCATCCTCCCAAGAAATGATTGCTGTCTCCACACGACGTGCAATGAGTCCCACGCAACGTCCTTCGCCACGCTGCCGGGACCTTGACCTTGGCGGCATATCTTTAAGGTGTCTCACTGTCCTCACTCCCTGTGGCGGATCCCAGGTGAACATCCTTGGGAGCTTTGGGTTTTTAATCACGAAAGCCTAGGTAAAATGTGCTTGTAGTTGTGATGTGATAATACCCGTATAAGTAGAAAGAGGAGGGAGGGAGACGAGGAAGAAGGGAGAAGCAATGGATGAGAAAGGGGAGAAAGAGAAGAAGGAAAGGTGAAGAAGGCGGAGAGGAGGGAGTAGGGAGGGAGGGGAAAAGGATGAGGAATAAGGAGGAGGGAAGGGAAGAAATTAGAGAGAGGGGAAAGCAAAAGGAAGATGGAGATGGAGGATGGAGACGGGGAGGAGAGAGACGGACGCGAGAGACGAGAAGCCGAGACGAGGAGAAGGGGAGGGAGAGACGAGAGGAGAGAGGAGAGAGATTGAGCAGACGGAGAGAGAGAGGAGAAGACGGGAGAGAGAGAGGGGATACAGAGAGATGAGACTGAAGGAGCAAGCAGAGAGAGAGAGAAAGAGGAAAACTGATACACATGAAACCACAAATAGGATCAAGAATCAACTATCGAACAAGCCAGTCTGCCTAAAAACAGGAAGGATCCCGATGACTGTATATATCAACAATGACCAATTAAAAAGCCTAAAAATACAAAGACAATTGTTTCACATTCTCTTCCAAATCCAAAGGAAGTTAGCAATTCCAGAACATGCAACTTCCTGAGACACATATTCTACATAGTTGAGTTGAAAGTCAAAATCTGTAAAAGACTTCAAGGGAGGAGTGAGAGAAGACACAGTCATAGAGAAAAGGGCCGTAATCATATTACCTGTTACGGGTAAAATTAGAACAAGGCCGCTTTGCCCGTCACATTCATCTAAAGATTACTCGGAAGTATGTCATAATTCCGTCAAAATCAACTTTCTTTCATATATCAAACAGGAAGGATTGTTTAACATTCGCTGAA